ATCTGGGAATCTATATACCATAAGATCTAAAAACATGAAGAGTACAAGTGGTATATTTGTTCTATTAAAAAAAAAAAGAAAGGTGGTTGAAGCTATACTGAAACTGTAGTTACTGGTAACAGTTGTGTGTAAATGAAAATTTCTCTTTTAATATGGCAAATTCCATGTAATTTGGGGGAAGATATTATATTAAAAATGAAAACAAAATTAAAAAAAAAATCTGCCCAAGCAAACCCAAATTTGGGTTTCACATGAGTTGCTGGTCTCCATTTCTATTAAATGCTGTTTAAGGGCTCAAAAAACATGATGTTTCTCCAACACCAGCTTCAAAAGCCTACCATTATAAATAATTGGGGATAATTATGAGAGCAGCTGAATAAACTGGAAAAGGCTGAGCATAAAGAGAAAAGCAATAGGATGAAATGTGTGGTTCTTGAGCCAGCCCATAAATCTCTCTGGAATCAGAATAACAGTCTCCACCTTCACCAAACTGGAACCCATGTTCAAAGTAAACACCAAACCATACCTAACTGAATCAAAATAAGGTTACCCCAAAAAGTGACTCTGGTTTTCCTTTCCAGTGATGGGGAGGGAGTCTCTGGACCCTATTATATCCCTAAAATTAAATCCCCTTGTCTCCAGACTGAGAAATATGGCCATAACTTCTTTTGAGGCCAGGGTGGTCCCTTAACCCTGAGGCTTTAGTGATTCTGTCCCTGGCATCAATCCCATGGCCCCTAACTCTTCTACCATTGGAAATGTAATGACTTTAGAAGCTTAACTTGAACCCATGAGCAGCCTTTAAGCAAATCTATTATTTGAAGTGTCATTATGGAGAAAAGCAAGGTTTCAGAAATTAAATAAATTGTTCTATCCTAAGCAGGGCATCTGGCGTGTATTAATTAAAGGCTGGGAAACTCTTCGGGGCAGATGAGGTGGCTGCCACATCTATTGGAGAGGTCAATGCATGACAATATGTACTTTTTGCTGGAAACTTTCTATTAAAATTGTGGTGAGGTACATGTTTCCCTGAATTTCCCTAATAGCACTTTTTTTTGCGTCATCAGATCTACTTCTGGACTGTCATTGTCTGTAGAGGGAGAAGTGGAGAAGGTATTTAAAGTTGGCAGAGCACTCTGTGCCAGGCCAAGTGCTAAGGGTTATGCACATGTTGTTTTATGAATTTGCCAGTGTGTGGCTATTGGGTAGGAGTGATCACTTTACAAAGAATTTGAGCATCCAGGATTTAAAACCAGCCCTGGCTGCTTCTAAAACCCTGGTCTGTCTTCCTTCCTTCCTCCCTCCCTTCCCTCCTGTTTATTTATTTAAATAATCTCTACACCTAACATGGGGCTCGAACTCATGACCCTGAGATCGAGAGTCGCATGTTCCCACCCACTGAGCCAGCCAGGCGCCCGAAGTCCTGGTCTTCCTAATACAAGAAGAACTTAAGTCAGAGAGGCAAGGCGCTCTGACACCTTAAGAGCCAGGATGTAAACCAGCAAGACCTTTTTAGAGGACTATTTGCAGTGAATGCACATCAAGATCCCTAAAAATGTTAATACTGTCTAAGGTGGCAATAATCGTAATGATAAATGCCATTTGCTACGCATTTATCTGTAATTCAACATGTAACTGTTGTTTTTTTCAACATTGGTTAGTTTCTGCCTGCAGAATTTTTGAAATGTGTGATAGGCATATATTCTGAACAAGGGATCAGTTGCTTAAACAGCTCTTTCCCAAGCACCCACTCCGTTGATAGACTGAGCCCTTACCATCCTAAATGGAGTTGGGGAGTGCGGGCAGGTGAGAGAACCCAAGTGTGCCATTCTAAATTGGATTTAGTAACTTTTTCTTAGTTTTCAACCCTTGGAAGATAAGCTGTGCCAATCACTAGCTATGTGATTTGGGACAAATTACTTAGTTTTCTCTAAGCCTGAGTGACTTTTAAAAGGGGGATAATAGCGCCAGCCCAGTGCTGTGCAAAATAAATGAGGTAGTACAAGGGAAAGAGGTACAGTGAGGGAATTATGGTCCCAGCCACATGTTGTGGTTTAGAACAAAATCCCAGATGGAGACTCTATATGTGAATTAATCAAGCTGATCTGTACTGTGTGCGGCAAGAGCCACCCGCCACATGTGCGGCTTTTGAGCATTTGAAACATGGCAAATCTGAACTTGGGTGTGTTGTGTCACATACACACTGGATTATTTTGAAGTCTTAGTATGATAAAAAGAATGCAAAATACATTGCACTCTCTCTCTCTGACAAATAAACAAGTAGAATCTTTATTATTTATTTATTTATTTATTTATTTATTTATTTGACAGAGACAGAGACAGCGAGAGCAGGAACACAAGCAGGGGGAGTGGGAGAGGGAGAAGGAGGCTTCCTGCGGAGCAGGGAGCCCGATGTGGGGCTCAATCCCAGGACCCTGGGATCATGACCCGAGCCGAAGGCAGCCGCTCAACGACTGAGCCACCCAGGTGCCCCAATCAAATCTTAAAAAAAATAAAGTTAACAAGACATGTAAGTCAACTGGACAGATAGTACAGAGATATAGAATCCTCCCAGTGCTTGGTAAGGCCCTGGCATCTGTCTTGGCTTATAAAGTTACTCAAGGAAAATGAGGAAATCACTAAATCCCACATCACTTTCTGGTGAAATGGGGCACACTGGATGGAGATATTTGGTGTACTTTGGAAGAACAAATCTTTAGTATCGGGGACACTCAGTTTGAGGACCCCTCACAGTAGCTTGGTCGGTACAAATGCACTCATGCAGACGTTTTGAGATCTTCCTGTTCCCACAGGCACTATGATAGATGCAAGAGAGAGGGGGGTAAACAAACAGACTTCAGGGAGTTTACATGATAGTGGTGGGAGAGAGGTAATAAGCACACAAATAAGCTATTTTCAGACTGGGTAAATGCTATGGAACAATTTGAGTCATATGACTGAGAGCGACTAGTGGAGGATGGGTTATTTTAGATAGGGCAGCCAAGGATGTCTCCTTAGGGCTTCCCAAAGAAGACGCAGAGCTCAGCTGTCTAGAAAATTTAGAGAAGACCCTTGCTTCTCAAGGTAGGGTCCCAGACCAGCAGTATCAGTATCCTGGGAACTTGTTAGATAGGCAGAATTCCAGATCCCGCCCCAGACCTACTGTGTCCGAATCCACATTTAACAAAATCGCCCAGGTGATTTGTAGCACAGTAAATTTTGAAAAGTGCTGGGCTTGAGACCACTGGATGCAGCATGCAGCCCACCAGAAAGATGTAAATCCTGCTGAGGCAGGGAGCATGGAATGATGTTGTCAGCAGTCACTAGAAAGATGACCTGGTAACATTTATTTGCTGATGCCTTTGTAACGGAGCAGTCAGGCTCTAGGAGAAGACCCTGGGATTATCACATATGACAGTCTAAGTGATATTCTGGGTTAGCTCCCTTGCTTTACAGGAGACTAAAGCTCTTGAGGAATGGCCTGTTCATGGTGGGCTCCTTTGTGGCAGAGTCTGGTCTAGGATCTAGGAGACTCCTTTCTCCATGCCGCCTTTCAAATATTGGCAAGGACAGAATAAAGTAAGTGTTGAGGAAGGTGGGCAGCATGAGGAGGTGGTTGGAAAATAATTTCACATGATGCACTGGGAATGTTTTTCATTCTGTGAAAGTGAACTAGGAAAATATATGTGAGAACCAGGTCCACTTACAGGGAAGCAAATTTCAGCTCAAGGCTAGGAGCATTTCTAAGATTTAAAGCCACCCCACAATGAAGTGACTGATACACACACTAAGTATTCACAATACCCCTCTCTCAGGTATTCAGTCCCTGGCAGAGAGCTTGCCTGGATTAGGGTTTTCAAAGAGTCATGTTATGTTCTTTCTTTCTTTCTTTCTTTCTTTCTTTCTTTCTTTCTTTCTTTCTTTCTTTCTTTCTTTCTTTCTTTCTTTCTTCCTTCCTTCCTCTCTCTCTTTCTTCCTTCCTTTTGCCATATCCTATACCAGTATTTTTTAAATGGAAATAAAAAATATATGTGTAAACTGTGCAAAGTGCACTTAATCTTAAGCGTCCACCGTCTAGATCAAAATACAGAACACTTCCAGCCCCTCTCCTGCTCCTTCTCGGTCAATAATCCTTCTACCCCTAGGTAACCACTGTTTTTACTTCAATCACTATCGACTTGCACGTTCTTGAACTGCATATAAAGTGTCATTTTTAACTTAATATTTTTCTTTAATTAGATTCACTTTTTAATAGCTTTCTATTTGATCTAAGAAATAACATCAATGAAATGATGGTCTGATGTGATAGGCATTTTTCCTCCTAATACACAGTAAAATACACACTGAAACACACACACACAGACACACACCTATCAAAATGAAGTTTCTTAGAACCAACGGACCACACTTCGTTTCTCAAAAGCCACCAGATGATTTCTGAGGTCCTTTGCAACTGAAGATTGTGATCGAGTAGCCAAAAGTTCACGGAATGCCTTGTCAAAATCTTGATGCCGCCAGAGAGCCATCCTTGCATCCAATGATCCATCCATCTAAAACACTTGAGTATTTACAATGACGCTCAGAGGCACTGACCCACAGAAGACTAAGCCCCACTTTCTGATTGCAAGTGGAAAGAGTAAATTATTTCAGTCCGTGTGGTAACTGTTACAGTCAGGTAAGCACCGGCACACAGCGGCAGGGCTGTTTCCGGAGACAGGGCGGAGAGGAGAGGGTGGGTGGGCATTTTCCAGAGAAGTCTCCGCCGGCCACCCAACTCAGATCACTTTGCAGCGGCGGGCAACCTCAGCCTTCCTTAGCAACCTGACCGCACCGCCCAAGTGCCTTCCTATTGGTCTCCTGGAGCTTGATGGGCAGCTCTGTAGTGCAATCCCAGCTCGCGGCCCCTGGCTCCGCGCTTACTCACGGGAGGGCTCGTAGGCGGTAGCGCCCTCCCCAGGTGCCCCGCCCATGCCCGAGCGGCTTGTGGCGCATGCGCGGGCGGGCTGGAGCTGTGTGCAGGGCCAGCGCGGAGCCGGAGCAGCCGCGGTGAAGCTCCTGGGCACCGCTGAGACCGCTGTGCCCGCTCGTCGCCTCGGCCGCCGCCGCCTCAAGCCGTCGCCGCCGCCGGCTGAGCGGCTGCCTATTGTCCTTCTCGGCGGCGAAGGTGCGGAGCTGCTCCGGCTGGGCCCGCGGGGGAGCCCCGGGCGCCGCACGGTGAGAGCGCAACTTAGTTGGCGGAGTTGGGGGAAGTTTTGTGATTTGGGGAGGGGTCGCGGGCGAGGCGCGAGGGCCTCTCCCCTGCGGCCGCTCCTCGGGGCCGTGGCCGGGACCGGAGCCGGGAGGGGGGCGGGGCCGCGGGGCGAGGAGGGGGCGGGCGAGCGGTGAAGGGGCGGTGGGGGGCGCCCCCCGGCCCCCTCCTCCCCGCGCGTTGCCCCCTCGCTCATTGTCTGCTCCCGGGCTGCGGCGCGCCTCCCCACCCCCGCAGCCGGGCTTCGGGGGCGCGGCCGCGGGGGTCCCCTCGAGCGAGGCCGGCTCTCCTGGCGCCGGGAGCCGCGGCCCCTTCTGCGTCCCCCCGGGGTCCCTCCGTGGACAAGTGCTGCGGACGCGAGGGAGCGGCTCCCCCGGGCCGACGCGGGCGGTAAACACTCCGGGCCGCGCCCGCCTTCGGGGGGCGCCTTCCGCGCCCGCTCCCGGGCCGCGCGGGTCGGGGCCGCGCCGGCGGAGGGGACCCGCGCTGGGACTGCAGCGGGCTCAGCTCTCCGCCGAGTTCAAGTGCAGCCATACTTGGAGACCAAAACTTTTTTTTTTTTTTTGGCTTACTTACTGACACTATGTATATATATATATATTTTTGTTCCAAGTCAACCAATATGAGAAGGGTTTTGTTTGTTTGTTTTTTTAATGGGGAAAACCCTCAATTTTTCTTCCCCAGAAGATAGGAGACAGGTTTTTTACATTTTGTTTTTTTGGAAATACGTAGTTTTTACAGCAAAATGATTTCATCACATTTAAGTTTTTAAATGCTACTGTGAACTGAGGAATTCACAATGAAAGTTGAATTGAGCAATATTTTGGTGTTCTCAGCTTTTACGCTCCTGGGTGAAGTTATTTTGGGAGTTTATTGCCTCAGGCATACACAACTAAAGGAAAAAGCAGTGTGCCTTTTTTTCTTATTCCAATACACCCCCCCCCTTTGTTTTTTTGGAGAAGCATCTTATTCTGTTTTTCTAAACTGTTGGGATTGTCCAGATCAGAACAAATGCTGCGTGCAGTTTTTGAAAGATGATTGCGAGTTTGTAAAGGGGTTATGATCAGCTGAGATAAATCACTGTTCTAGTTCCTGTATTCCTTGGTCTCTTGGGAGATTTGCAGCCTGAATTAAATACAAGCCTTGTCAGGTTTGGGGTTCGATTCTACTGAATTTGGTTCTTTTGGCTTATGATGTGAGAATAATTTGGCTTATGATGTTTAAATCCCCCAGGTGGAACTAGTTTAAGTGTCTGTCAAGTTGGTAGTGGAACAGAATGACCAGAATGTGTTAATACCCGTTTTTATATCCCATTGCCATCTGCTAAATTAAAAAGAAAAATTTGGGAAATACGCTGTATGTCAGTTTGATTTCTCACTGGAAGTGAGTAATGTGGGGAGGTGTTCCTGGGTTTTTCTGGTTTGGTTGGCCTTGTTTTGCTTTGAAAAACCAACTTGCCTCACCTGATGAAGCTAAAGAAAAACGTCTTTATGGCTTAAGCATTGTACTTTTAAACTACAGCAACAAGGTCACTTATAGGAGTCACAATTCTTGCTCTTACAACTTTTCTTCCTGGTTCTGCAGTTGTGCGTGCCTACATGGGACGAGCGTGTGGATGGAGGTTGACAGAGGTTGCAAGGGTTGTCAGGGAGGGACATAATGTAAACAAATACAGCTTACAACAGAACTGACAAGTAGGCCAGTTGCTTTTCTTCTCTGAGCTGTGATACCATGTTACACATTTGTTTTAGGATTTCTCACACACTTCATTTATTTGCCTGACTAATGGTAACTGTACATGTAGTATAAATGGATTCCTTCTCTAGTCTGTTAACTCTTTGAGGGCTGTGATGGGCCTTATTTCTTATTTTTGTCCCCTCTTTGCCAGGAAGGATTCTTAACACAGTGCAGGTGTGCAGTGTGTGTTTGAAATGGGTGAAGCTTTGTACTAAGCTAGTGATTGTGCGCATAGAACCACTAACTCTGGGAACTTGCCCCAAATGACAGTTCACTTGGCAGCTCTGTGATGAAATTTAGTCTACTTAAAAGGATTTCAAACCTCTCTTTTTTAAATCTGTTAATTACTCCTTGAAAAGAAGTGAAGTTTAAATAGTGCCCTATGGATTTTCAAAATGTGATTCTCATTTAGAAGTTTTCTCCCTTTTCTGATGAAATGATTAATACTGCTGGACAAATCATTTCACGTCTCTGCCTAGGTTCTTCTATTGTGAAATGGGGAGGTAGCACAGTTTTGAAGAAGACACATTTTTTGTAGCTAGGTACATTTGAGTTCTGATCCCTACACTTCCATTGACCAGTTGTGAGCCTTGAGCAGGTCACTTAATCCCTCAGAGCCTCTGTGTCCTACCAAAAGGTGTAGTAACATACTTTGCAGGGTTCTTTGGAATGACTGAAACTATGTGAGGCACTTAACAGTGTGCCAGACATTGAGTAGGTGCCTATTACCTGGTAGCTGTAATGATAATAATTTTGATACCTTTTTATGTGATTTGAAGCAATTTTAAAAGCCTGATGCTTCTGAGTTATTCTGAGCTATTTCTTTCATAAAGAAGGAATCCTTCTGAGAATTGAGTGTCTTTGGTTGAATGCATTTTTTTTTTTTTTTAAGGAGCTAGTTGAACTGAATGTTAATAGAAACTTATCTTCTCATTGACCTTAACAGGTGTTTGAGTAGAATTTGCAGAGTAGCTTGGTAGGGTGTGACTGTGCATTTATGGTGTTTAGGAAATGGTGAGAGACGGATTGTTTTCAACACTTGTAATAGGATATCCAAGTTATTTAGTCAGTTCCAGCTTTTGTACCTTATTTTACTTCAGTCTTGAAAAATAATTGATAGGGATTATGACTACATTTTTTCAAACTCATGTAAGATGGAACTGGACCGGGGGTTAACACAGTGTGAGCACAATTCTGCTATGTTAGCAGATTGCTCACTTCCCCTTCAAGATAACACCTTTGAAGGTGCCACCATTTGCGGAAGGAAGCAGTGATTTAAATCTGTTATGCCAGTTCAGTTTACACTATTCACAGTACCAAATGGAATAGATATATTCTAGAACCTGTAATCAGGACATTTCTATATACTGAGTCTCATCTTTCCATTAGTTTTCTTCTAAAATGAGGGTAAAAAGTTAGACATGGAGGGTTATAGTAAACCTTCAAAAATTTTATCTGATCGGACTCACAGATTGAAGAAAAAACATACCTGACAAAGCTAGATGAATAAACTTGGACTTTTTGATAATTCTTTCTTTTAAAGTTAATACTTAAGTGCACTTGAACAGACTTGGTTATTACTGATGGGGACAGGGGTCCATTTGGAAGCAGTGCTCCTGAGTCATTGTCAGCTTGTCTTACCACTGTAAATGAGGAGAGAGGGGGAAGATGTTAGTGGAAGGAATTTCATTTCCCTCATACGTCCTCCCACTTAGGGTCTTGAAGTCCACCTATGGGTTGATTGGGACATAATAAATAGAAGATGAATAGATAACCCATTTTGTCAGCCCTTGCTGGGAGGATGGACAACCTGGTACTGAATATTTATGTGGAACAATAGTGTGCTTTCCTTTTTTACCTCTTCAGAGCTGTGTTCAGAGCCTGGCAAAGGTGGATATCAATGTGTTTCTGTGATGTGGGTATTGGGGTGGGGAATAGGAAGAAGTGTGAGGAATTAACCATTTATGTCACTCTGTAGGCTCTTCTTTTGGAAACCATGCTTTTGAATTTTCACTTCTGATAATATCATAAGCCCATATTTGGCCATAGCCTTTACCATCCAAAATGGCCAGTTATTCCTGAATGGTTAGGAATTAAGTAGGTATGTCACACTGTAACTGATTTGTCTTTTAGACAACTAAAGATGTCAAGTTAGGGAAAAGCATGTAGGAGTTATGTGAAGAATTTTGTAGAACCCAAGATGATTCTATGATGGTGATCTCTACTGGAAAAAAAAAAACACATGATATGGAGCCACATGTCTGACTTTACATCCAAACTTTGCCATTTATTGACTGTGTGTCCTTGAGCAAGCCACTTCATCTGTCTCAAACATAAGATCCTTGTAAACTAAAAACAAATGTAATATTAATCATCTCCTATCACATACTACTGTTGCGAGAAACAAATAAGGTAGAATACTATACAAATGCTATGGCATTTTGTAACTTTATTGGTTGGCTACTGGTTTGGATAAAATTAAAATCCTAGTTGAAAAGAGGAAAACATCCTACTATGTTGGTTTTTCTTTTTTTTTTTTTTAATAAAAGATAATTAAAATATGCTGTAATGATTGTCATTCTCCTTTCTTGGGAAAATTGATACGTCTTACTTTGGCTCTTTTCAGTTTTCCTTTTATAACATTTGTCATGGAGTATTTTTCTAAACTCTAAAGAAATTTTAGTTCACAGTGCTTGCTGTTAGACCCAAGTTACTGTGAAATCACAGGAACTGATGGTCGATGCCAATTCTTGAAGTCAGGTTAAACCACAATGAACAGCGAACAAAGAATGTCAATATTTCAAGAGTACAAAAGAAGCTAGTGTAGTTGTCTGATGTTTACGGACTCATTTTCTAAAATTATGTTTTCAGTTGGTTTACTCAGATCGGGAGTCTGCCTCGTCTGTGCCAGATGTTCTACTCTGTCTTACCTACCTACATTTCTTATTTAATTTTGGGGAAGAAAAAGCTAGGCGGCAGGCATTATTAAGCTGTTTAAGTATGGGGAAACAGCCCGCAAAGTGATTTGACAGTGATCACATAGCTATTAAACTAAAATTGGAACTCAGATAATTCTGGCTCCAAAGGCTAGGCATTTCACAATATTGATTGCTATCACCTGGAAAGAATACATTTTTAAAACAAATCAAGGGGCGCCTGGGTGGCTCAGAATGGTTGGGCATCTGCCTTCAGCTCAGGTCGTGATCCCAGGGTCCTGGGATCGAGCCCC